GGTGCACCTGGAGGAAACCCACACAGACATGAGGAGAATGTGCAAATTCCACACAGTCGCCTGGGAGTGGAATTGAACCCGGTCCCTGGCGCTGTGAGGTAGCATTGCTAACCACTGAGCCAGTGCTGCCCTTTGATCATGTTCACATTTTTAAAGCAAAGACACCACTCAGATTACAGTTTGAGATAGCTTGTAGTAAATATTGCAATACATAATAAACCAAGAACTGTCATCACTTTCTTTGGAGTACTCTATCCTAAAGAACTGTAGTTGCTCAGTCATTGAGTATATTCAAGTTAGAGGTTTTTTTCAGATCTGTTGGATACTGAGGGAATTAAGAAAATGGGGCATAATGTAGAAGGTGGTGTTAAGGTAGACCATTAGTATCAGAGCAGGCGTGAAGGGCCACACAGTTTGATCCAGATCCTGTTTCTGATGTTCTTATAGTCTCTTGGGGTGATTAGCCTGTTATGTGCTATATATACTTTTAAAACTAATAGTACTTACTTTTTTTACAAGTGCAATAAGGTTCGAAAGACCAGCGTAGTAAAACTTGTACATGTCCTATGTGGTGATGGAAGAAAGAATTCACCTGGCTTTTATGTGCATGTGGGATTTGTGAACATTTCCTCCACTTGGTGCTTTATATCAATATGCAAGTTCAATTTGTAAAAGAACTCCTGCACTATTTTGATGGAAATACCAATCAGAGGACCCCTCGCCAAACATGGCTGATTTTTCCCTTTCCTAGCTTGGGAGCACAGAGGCTAAATATACTGTTTGCACTGATAGTCAACTGAAATGAGCTAACAAAGTGCATACAGATGTCTATACTGTGCAATTCATTTACCAGCAGAGACAACAGTAAACCAGATAATCAGGGTAGCAAGAGTAGTACTGCATTTAAGCCATGGTATGGTACTAGACAAGCATCTCAAAAGGTCACAAGTTCAAGTCACATCATGCCAAATGCTTAAATTGAATTTGATACACTTTGCAATTTGTTATTTGGCAACAGAAAGTCAATATAAAAGCTACTGGCTGTTGTAAACGAAGTCTTAGCTGAGTCATGACCATCCTTTAGCAACAAAAACATTTAAAACAGCAGAGAGTGTATGCTTGTCTTTAGTCACGCTTGATGCTGTTGACTCTTGACCTCTTAAGTGGTCTAACAAAGTACTAAGTTGTCAGGGCAGAATGAATCCACCTCTGCTAGTGTCATTCATATCCTGAGAACCAAAGAAGTCATCATCAATCGGTATTCTCCCTTGAAATACAACTAACCTTATTGTAACATAGTTTTATGCAGCATCAGGTGAAAATAGGACCTGGAAGAGGGCAGCAGAGTGATGACGTGGGGAAGATTTGCATCAGTGCAGTCACTAATTCCAAAAGGTGGACTTCAGCAAGACACCCTTCGTGTTCAAATGAAGGCGTGTATCCGGATGAAGGCAACAGAGTGGTGATGCTAATTGGCTGACATGGGGAAGATTTGCGTCAGTGCAGTTACTGATTCCAGAAGGTGGTTTGCGGAGGGGCTGTTGTCAAGTGACAGTCCTGGCTGGGAGGTTTTCTGGTGTCACTCGGGAGGATTTAAACTGGCTTGGTAGGGGGTTGGGAACCAAAGCAAAGGTGAATGGACTGAAGGGGAACTGGAGAATAGGGCCAGTAAGACTGAGGAAGAGCAGGCAGGGTGTGGTTGCTGATCAAACTGGGTCTGGTGGACTGAAGTGCATGAGTTCCAATGCAAGAAGTGTAACAGGTAAGGCACATGAATTTAGAGCTTGGATTAGTACTTGGAACTTCGATGTTGTTGCTATTACAGAGACTTGATTAGGGGAGTGACAGGATTGGGAACTTAACATTCCAGGATACAGATGTTTCAGGCGGGATAGAGGGGAATGTAAAAGGGGTGGGGGAGTGCACTACTTGTTAAGGAGCATATCACAGCTGTACTGCGGGAGGACACCTCATTTGGCTCATACAGCGAGGCAATATGGGTGGAGCTCAGGAACATGAAGGGTGCAATCACAATGTTTGAGGTTTACTGTAGGCCTCCCAACAGCCAGCAGGAGATAGAAGAACTGATATGTCGGCAGATTTGCCAAGATGTAAAAATAACAGGGCTGTTGTCAAGGATGATTTTATTGACTGGGACTCACTTAGTATTTGGGGCACAAATGGGGCAGAGTTTGTAAGGAGCATCCAGGAGGGTTTCTTGAAACAGTATGTAGATAGTACAACTAGGAAAGGGGCTGTACTAGACCCAGTATTTGGGGATGAGCTTGGCCAGGTGGTGGATGTCTCAGTAGGGGAGCAGTTCGCGAAGAGTGATCACAATTCAATAAGCTTTAAGATACTGATAGATAAAGACAAGTGCATTTGTCAGGTGAAGGTGTAAATTGGGGGAAGGCTAATTACAACAATATTAGGCATGAAGTGAAGAATGTAGATTGGAGGCAGATGTTTGAGGGAAAATCAACATTTGGTACGTGGGAGGCTTTTAAGTGTAAGTTGCTGGGAACTCTGGACCAGCATGTTCCTGTAAGGATGAGGTATGGTAAGTTTAGGGAACCTTGGATAACGAGAGATATTGTGAGCCTAGTCGAAAAGAAAAAGGAAGCATTTGTCAAGGCTAGGAGGCTGGGAACACACAAAGCAAGGGTGAAATACGAGGAAGGTCGAAAGAAACTTAAGCAAGGAGTCAGGAGGGCTAAAAGGGTCATGAAAAGTCATTGGCCAACAGGATTAAGTAAGATCCCAAGGCTTTTTATACATATATAAAGAACAAGAGGGTAGCCAGGCAGAGGGTTAGCCCACTCAGGGCAAGGAAGGGAATTTATGTGTGGAGCCAGAGGAAATGGGCAAGGTATTAAATGAGTACTTTGCGTCAGTATTTACCATAGAGAAGGACTTGGTGGATGATGAGTCTGGGGAAGGATGTGTAGGTAGTTTGGGTCATGTTGAGATCAAAAGGGAGGAGGTATTGGGGGTTTTGAAAAACATTAAGGTGGACGAGTCCCCAGGGCCTGATAGGATATACCCCAGAATACTGAGAGAGGCAAGGGAGGAAATTGCTGGACCTCGAGAGAAATCTTTGTATCCTCACTGGCTACAGGGATGGTCCCAGAGGATTGGAGACTAGCCAATGTTATTCCTTTGTTTAAGTAGGATGGCAGGGATAATCCAGCTAATTACAGGCCAGTGAGCCATACGTAAGTGGTAGGGAAATTATTGGAGAGGATTCTTCGAGACAGGATTTACTCCCACTTGGAAATAAGTGGGCATTATTAGCGAGGGGCAACATGGTTTGGTGAAGGGGAGGTCGTCTCTCACAAACTTGGAGTTTTTTGACAAAGATGATCGAGGAGGGTGTAGGGCAGTGGACGTTGTCTACATGGACCTCAGTAAGGCCTTTGACAAGGTCCCTCATGGCAGGCTGATACAGAAGGTAAAGTTGCACGGAGGCAGAGGTGAGCTTGCAAGATGGATAAAAAACTGGCTCAATCATAGAAGACAGAGGGTAGCAGTGGAAGGGTGCGTTTCTGAATGGAGAGCTGTGACTAGTGGTGTTCCTCAGGGATCAGTGTTGGGACCTTTGCTATTTGTAATATATATAAATGATTTGGAGGAAAATGTAACTGGTTTGATTAGCAAGTTTGCTGATGACACAAAGATTGGTGGAATTGCAGATAGCGATGAGGACCATCAGAGGATACCGCAGGATATAGATCGCTTGGTGACTTGGGCGGAGAGATGGCAGATGGAGTTTAATCTGGAAAAATATGAGGTAATGCATTTTGGAAGGTCTAAGCCAGATAGAAAATATACAGCAAATGGCAGAACCCTTAAGAGTACTGATAGGCAGAGGGATCTGGGTGTACAGGTTCACACGTCACTGAAAGTAGCAACGCAGGTGGAGAAGGTAGTCAACAAGGCATATGGCATGCTTGCCTTCATGGGACGGGGCACTGAATTTAAAAATTGGCAGGTAATGTTGCAGCTCTATAGAACCTTAGTTAGGCTGCATTTGGAATATTGGGTTCAATTCTAGTCACCACACTACCAGAAGGATGTGATGTACAGAAAAGATTTACCAGGATATTGCCTGGTACAGAGGGCATTAGCAATAAGGAGAGGTTGGACAAACTTTGGTTGTTTTCACTGGAACGATAGAGGTTGAGGGGTGACCTGATAGAGGTCTACAAGATTATGAAGGGCATGGATAGAGTGGACAGTCAGAAGCTTTTTCCTATGGGGAAGAGTCAGTTACTAGGGGGCATAGGTTTAAGGTGTGAGAGGCAAGGTTTAAAAGGTGATGTACGAGGCAAGTTGTTTTTTTTTTTTAAAAAACACAGAGGGTGGGGAGTGCCTGGAACTCACTGCTGGGGGAGGTAGTGAAAGCAGATACTTCTGTGACTTTTAAAGGGCATTTTGACAAAAGGATGAATAGGATGGGAAGAGAGGGATTATGGTCCCCGGAAGGGTAGGGGGTTTTAGTTGTGACGGGCAGCATGTCGACGCAGGCTTGGAGGGCCGAAGGGCCTGTTCCTGTGCTGTAATGTTCTTTGTTCTTTTTCTTTGTTTTATTGTAATACTAAAATACCCTCTGAAAGTTAGCAAAAAACCTTCCTTGAATTATGTTGACAATTGATCATTAAGCTCCTAAGCAAGCAACATCATAAGTATTTACAGCACAAGAGCCTTCAACCTATTGTACCTGTGCCAGCTCTTGTGACTAATTGGATAGTTACCATATGCCCATAGCTGTGCCTCATTTGTGGCAGGGTTGTAGAAACATGGATTGCACAACAAAAGCACTTACAAAGTCTGACAAAAGTTATAAATGTTTTCATTCACTTTCAATAAACAATATTGTTCTAATGAAAATCAAGATTAACTTTGTAAAGCTTTATAATAGGATATCAAATTATCTCTTTATTCTAGAAATTGTTTGTGGTATTAGTAATGTTTGACATGTTGAAAGAACACTCTTTGTCCACTGTTTTAGTTTGTTTATTTTTAATGGACAATTGACTCTGCTGAAATCAGACACAGGAAAACATCATATCAGCATGACTGATTCCTTATAACCATTCAGACAGATGCAAGATAGAATTGTTAACAATAAGATGATCACATGGATTAGAAGGTAAAACAGAGTCTAGAAAGTAATTTGTGGATTAGCGCCCTTTTAGAGAACCTGAATGCCCATGAAGCATTGGACAGTAATGTATAAAAGGACACCCCTGAATTAGCCATAGTACTTTGTTTCTTAGCCTCTCTTAGGAATTGGTGAAAGGGATGGTTGGAATCTGATGACAGATGGAGGAGCACTCACCATTATTATCTCGAACAATAATATTGAACCTATAATCTGGAATAAGAACTATCACTGCTCGCTCCAGATGGTTTAGTGGGGAGTCCTAGAGGACCTGTGGTCTGCAAATAAAAAGGAGGTTGCATGGTCGTTTGCATCTGGCACACAGCATCGTGAATTCACCCAGATTAAACTTACAATCTTTTCACTTGTTCAGGGAAGCAGTTCAAAACCAGCAGACAGAGGAATAAGAAAGAACTCATGTGAAAGGAAAGTGCAAAGAAAGCTCTTGGATCAATGGTAAAATGCAGTGAGATTTTCAAACTTCTTTTTATGCTTAAAAATCATGCAAAAATATAATCTGATGTCTCAGTGTTCATTTAAAGAAGAGGAATCCTCATTGAGAAGTTAATTCACCAAAAAAAAAGTGTTCTTCAGACTCTGTCAAGGTCTTTGTTGTCACAGTGGGAATGGATATTACATTTCTTGGGTTTCTTTGGTCAATCATCTGGTTCAGTTGTTTTCTTTAGAGACTGAGGCTTCCTTTGAGTAAGAGAAACATTCTGTCACTCATATATTCAAGCACAATTTCTCCTTTCAACCTACAGCTGTGCTTTTGTTCGGCCACACCGGTTGTACTCACTGTGCCATTGTAATTTTCAGCTTCACTGCAACTCTACAATGAACCAAATGTATGCTTTGCACATTAAATGTTCCATGCGACTGTATCCCTCCCTCCCTCAGGATTTGTAATAGACCAGCAATAACTCACAATATTGTAGTTCTAACACAATCCTTTCAGTATGCAAAAGAAAATGCCTTGTGGCCTATATTGCTAACACTGCTGTGTTCTATAATCAAGCAAGACTCCTGCCTAATAGGTGGGATACAGTCAAGTAGTGCTCCACGTTGTGCACCTATACTTCTTCCTGCTGTACTGCATGCAAACAATGGTTACGTTCCTCCTGGTTTTATTATGACACCTCCTAACTATACTGAAGTCAAAGAGTTGCGTCCATCCCTGCAACTGCGCAACACTACATGTGCCAGCTATCAAAGGTCAGCAGCACCCAAGCAGTTCTCCTGTGGCCATTACTATCCTGGGTCCTGCTACAGACTGCAGGAACAAGAAACTCAGATTCCACATTAATGAAACATATGTTCTACATGTAAATAAATGTAAGTGATTGTCTGATAGTGTTTTCAAAAATTTGCTAACATCGTGAAAGGCAACACCTTCATAATGTATCCTAATGATATCTAGTTCAGATATGGCTGCCTGGGATTCAAGTAGGAGAAACATCAATGTACTGAATTCATAAATAGTTGAATGTGGCCAACTGCAGAATGGAATTAATTATGAACAGACTGGCAAGGAGAGTACCTACCAATGTCTTGTGGCATAAATTAACAATGCACAGAATCATGAAGGGTCAGTGCACTATCATATAAAGTAATAATGCACTGTGGCAGTTAAAGCCATTGTATTGTACAAGGGAGAATCATTGAAGTGTGACACAGTTTCTCCAGGAGGTGTATTTTTAATCAGGATTCTCATGTACTGATGGCCTGCTTTTTGCTTTGCCTTTCAGGGAGCTGCTAAACAAAAGTCAGGCCACAAAGGTTCAGTGATGGAGAAAAAAGTCAAAGAACAGTCAAAAGAAAGCGGACAGTTCTAAACCTCCCACCCAGTTTCAGAAAACAAGACACTGACAGTTAGGCTATATTTTTTGTGAAAAAAACCCTTATGCTTCAAATACTACCCTTCCTTTCCTGAATGTGTACACTCTTGCAGGAGTATAGTTTCACGAGTGCAGGTGTTCTAACAGTTTATCAAAATGGCTTAAATAGTGAACGTCAGACTTGAAGGCTTCAGGGACATCAAAGCTATGCCTTAATCTGCCATCTCCGCACACCTTCACTTTCAAGTAAGACCCATGGATAAGAGTTGGGAGTGATCAAACCCTCCTCTCTTAAACCTGAGGTGTTGAGGGCAACTGTGGGACATATACATAACCAAAGCTGTGGTATAATGATCTAAGTATTTATCTTAGGAACCTCTTTATTCTACCCACTTCAGTCTCACACTGGGTAAATGTATTAATCCACTGGGTCACCAGGGAGATATTGATGTACTGGTTATATTATGTTTCTAAACAACAGGACAGATGCATGACAGACTAAAGCCACAACTGCAACTGCCGTGTTACAGTATTGAAGATCTCTACTGCCCAAGTGCCAGGGTGCAGCAAACTTTAAACACCATATATCAATAAATACTGTGGCTTTATTTTGTCAACACTTAATCCAATGTTCTTCAACACTTACAAAAGGTGTTCGTTCACCAAATCTGCTCCAGAATGTCATGTTAACTTGGTTCTTGTGGCCTGTTCTTTCATCAAAACAATGACAGCTGTTGAATGGTGGACTGTACAGGTGAAGGCTAACTGCACCTTCTGTATGACTCACGTTTTCCACCCGGTGCAGGCCAATGGTATCTGTGATTTAGGGGGAAGGATCATACATCAGTTAATTCATTGGAGTGACTTTCTAACTTGCTAATTTATTTCTCTCCTCTATGCAACAGGGCTATGGGCATCAGCTGTCCTTTGGTAACCCATGCATGAATGACAGCCGATTGCTTCATTACAGTATTTAATTCATTTCTGACGTTTCATGCAATCACCCGATACCTGTGAAATTACATTTTGAAGCTGAACTACTGGTTTGTGATTGGATGTATTAACCTCAGCTGATTTTTCTTCTGAAGCCCATGCCACTGTTTTGAGCACCTCTGCCAACCCGGCTTGGTCACAAAATCTCATTTAAAAAATTGAAATGTATACCCAAACGACCAGTCAACAGGACTTTAAAATAGAAAGTGAAAGGGAAGGGTAAAACTCTAAGAAGCGTAATGGCCAATGGGGAACAAAGCAGTAGATTAACATCTGTGGGGGTGGATTCAACTGCATCAAAAAGTATGAAAAAAGTGAAAAGAAAGGAGAACTCAGGAGAGGTTATTAAAGTCTCTAGAAGACAAAATAGGACAAAGTGTTTGGAAAGGGTTAGAAATCTAACTACAAGCACATTGGATAAAGAGATGACAATGAGAAGAGGGACAATAAATACAGGACTGAAGGTGCTATATCTGAAAGCATGCAGTATACGAAACAAGGTAAATGAGCTTGTGGCACAGATTGAAATTGGCAGGTATGATGTGGTGGGCATCATGGAGATCAGGACTAGGAGCTAAATATCCAACGATACACAACCTATCGAAAAGACAGGCAGGTGGGCAGAGGGGGTGGGGTTGCCTTATTAGTATAATGGCAAGAAACGATGTAGGATCAGATGTAGAATTAAGTGGATAGAATTGAGAAACTGCAAAGGTTAAAAAGCCATAATGGGAGTTAGTACAGGCCTCCAAACAGTAGTTGAGATGTGGGGCATAAGATACACTAGGAGATAGAAAAGGCATGTAAAAAAGGCAAGGTTACTGTGATCGTGGAGGATTTCAGAATACAGATGGACTGGAAGAGCAGGTTGGTAATGGATTGCAAGAACAGGAATTTGTGGAATGTCTATGAGATGGCTTTTTGGAACAGCTTGTGGTGGAGCCAACTTTATACATTAATGATCTAGATGAAGGAGCTGAGGGCTTTCTAACTAAGTTTGCAGATGATACAAAGATAGGTAGAGGGACAGATAGTATTGAGGAGATGGGGAAACTGCAGGAGGATTCGAACAGGTTAGGAGAGTGGACAAAGAAGTGGCAGACGAATACAAAGCGGGAAATGTGAGGTCATGCATTTTGGTAGGAAGAATAGAGGCAAAGACTATTTTCTAAATGGGAAGAAAATTCAGAAATCTGAAGTGCAAAGGGATTTGGGAGTCCTAGTCCAGGATTCTCTTAAAGTTAACTTGCAGGTTGAGTTGGTAGTTAGGAAGGCAAATACAATGTTGGGATTTATTTTGAAAGGACTAGAATATAAAAGCAGGGATGTACTTCCGAGGCTTTATAAGGCTGTCGTCAGACCACATTTAGAATATTGTGAGCAATTCTGGGTCTCATATCTTAGGAAGAATGTACTGGCCCTGGAGCCAGTCCAGAGGATGTTCATGAGAATGATCCCAGGAATGAAAGGCTTAACATATGAGGAATGTTTGAGGACACTGGGTCTATACTCGATGGAGTTTAGAAGTATTGGGGCGGGGGGGTGGCGGGGAATCTAATTGAAACTTACAGAATACTGAAAGGCCTAGATAGGGCCTGTTGGGAGATGTTTCCATTAGTAGAAGAGACTAGAACACGAGGGAGCAGCCTTAGAGTAAAGGGAAGACCCTTTAAAACAGAGATGAGGAGAACTTCTTCAGCCAGAGAGTGGTGAATCTATGGAATCCATTGCCACAGAAGGCTGTGGAGGCCAGGTCATTGCATATATTGAAGACAGAAGCAGATAGATTCTTGACTGTTAAGGGGATCAAATGTTACAGTGAGAAGGCGCGAGAATGGGGTTGAGAAACTTATCAACAATGATTGAATGACAGAGCAGACACGATGGGCCAAGTGGCCTAACTTCTGCTCCTGTGTCTTATGGTCTTATTCTTATTTCAATAAATACAAATTCAGTAAACCAAAAATACCTGTCATTCATGTAGTCACTATTGTTGAATCTAGCTGTGTTCCAATTTTTCCCACAGGATGATGATTGCAGTTCAAAAGTAATCCATTTATTGTAAAGCACTTTGGAATGCACTGAGGTCATGTGAAAGTTGTATATTAATGCAAGTTCCTTGCTTTGAAGATAAAGTTATTGCAGTCCATTCTTTGTGAAAAAAATATTCCAATCGTCTAACCCTAACTTTCTTTTTATAACCTATGTCTAAATAGACTTTTGGGAAGTATCTTATACTGGTAAATAGTTTATCAAGCCAAGAAGTCTAAATTTTACAATAAAATTCCAGTTGTTGATAACATTGGAAATTAGTCAAACGTGAGAATTCTTTCTATAGTTACTAGCCAATGTAAACTCCTTCTCCATGACGTTTCTTTTCATCTATGTCATCTAAGCATCACTTATTCTTCTCAGAAATGTCTCTTTCATTCTTTCTTGTTTCACTACATTTATCTTACATTCTGTGCCTGTATTTTTCAGATGTGGTTTACACAATATTGTTCCTTACAGGAGCCAAAGGTGTAATTGGTACCAATTTGGAATAACAGCTTAAGATATGTTTGTAGGCGTAAAGCTTAATAGCAATAGTAATTGACAGGTTAGACTGTCATGTTAACACCTCCACCAAAATAATGTCATATGAAAATTTAAGTTGTGTTCCACTAATAATTATTTCAATACTAATACATCTGAACATGATATATGAACACAGACATACAACTCTTCTATTCTAATCTATTATTGGGTATTCATTTTACCCATATAAAAAGGACCACATAACAATCCATAGGTTTGCTCTGTTAAACATTGCCATATTCTTAAACATTCAATTTAACAAGTCATATTACACTTCTGTTTGAAAGAGTCACCAATGTTTAATTTCATTTGTGCTAATTATGCAATTCAAGAGGATTTGAATTGTCTCCAGTATTGTTGATTGCTACTACTATTAGGTTACTGCAAACAAAGTGCTTTACATGGGTAATCCTTCGAATTATCTATTCCTTTGTACTATGCACATACCTAGACTAGTCAAATTGAGCAGTGAAAGTAGTAAGAGATAACAAAGTGTAGAGCTGGATGAACACAGCAGGCCAAGCAGCATCAGAGGAGCAGGAAAGCTGACGTTTCAGGTCTGGACCCTTCTTCAGAAATTGTGCTGTGTTCATCCAGCTCTACAGTTTGTTATTTCAGATTCTCCAGCATCAGCAGTTCCTACTATCAGTGCAAGTAGTAAGAATGTTTGTTACTAGCATGATGTCAGAACCACCACTGTATGGTATCTGCTAGGTTTGATCCTACTTAGGATAGATACATGACTTTACTGAGGAGAACTTTACCATTGATGTAGGTGCACTGATTTTCTAGGAAGGTTTTCTCCCATTTCTTGGTCAGCTCCTGATTCTTGTGATTGCCATCTGGCCAATTATACAGTGTTTCTTTCAGCTGCCCTTGTAGTATCTTCAGGAAGCAATGTGAATTGGCATGGTCATGGATACTGCTGCGGAGTAACCAGACAAAGACACTCAAACAAATGATAACAAATTAAAAGAGAGTTTATAAAGGACAGATCAGAGAATATTAGCTTGAGTGGTTTACGTTTCAACTGAAAACAAGGAGCTCCCCAAATGCTATTGAGTAAAGTCAATATTCAGGTCAGTGCTGCGACACATAGGTACAATAGGTCCAGGATACTTAAAATTTTGGCTGATCAAATCCAAAATGAGCATTGGAGTTACTATATGGTCTTAGTAAACTTTGGCTAAAAATCATACAAGCTTTTGCTGCTGACGTTTACCCAGTGAATGAGTCTGGAAAGACTGCTCATGTGTGGGCACTGAGTGAGAATATGATTGGTGTCAGACCTTAAACCTCATATTCTAAAAGCCTCAAGAGGGCTTTTACAAGAAGGAAGAAGGGAGAAAATTGTGCTTGAAAACAAAATGAGGATGCAAAACATTGTGAAGAGAATTCTATTGAGACCTGTTAACTTTAGCTTAAAATTCCAGAATAAATGGTGGTCAAACCAGCTAGGTGACCGTAGAAATTTGGTTTGGAGCCTTGTATGCATGTAGATCAGCTGTTCCCAGATCAATGCAAATTAAAGTACTGCTGTGCCAAATATGGGAATATTTGGTACATTGGAAATTTGGCAAATGGAAATGGGGGAGACTAGTCATGATGTTTCAGGACAAAGGCCAAAATTCAAATTAGTTTGTGTATATTTGTCATTGGAGTTTGCAAGTAGTTTAGAGCTGTCACACCACAACAATGGCTGTAGAGCAATTCATGAATTCAGGTTCATTTTGTCCTTCTGATTGAAAAGTAATAAGCATGGTCAGGTCAGGCAGCATCTGTTTAATGAGGGATCACTGGACTTGAAACATTAACTGTTTTTCTCTCTACAGATGCTGCCAGACCTGCTGTGTTTCTCCAGCAATTTCTGTTTTTGTTTCAGATTTCCAGCATCCACAGATTTTTAATAAGTGGTTAATTTGATTTACCAGATTACTGTCCCCACCCCTCCCCCACAAAATCCCAGGAGTTTCATTCTGTTCTGTGGAACCACATCTTTCATATGAATTACCTTAACTAAGTAATTTTCTATAATGGACCAGAGAATTAATCACCAAGTGTTCCACTACATTTTGACATTGTTCTTGCACTTCCGGCTCATAACAATTCATCTTTTAATTTTCCTTTCTAAGTAACTCAGCAATCTTTTTCTCAGTAATGATGTTGTATTGCTGAAATATTAAGTGTTAGAATAATACAATTAAAGAAGAAATGGTGTCACTCAACTTAAAATTATATTTCTCTCTACATTTCATCCCGGAATGATTTCTCATCTTTTCTCATTCTTCTGGTCAGTGTAAGATTTAGAGTTTTTAATTATTTCTAGTTTGTTATTAAATTATATGTTTCCCAGCAGCTTTGAATAAATTTTAGAAGCCAACGTAGTCTTGCTAGTTTTAAAAACCTCCAGCACCACTTCTGCAAAGGGCAGGAGAACCATTCCTGTAATTCAAAGCATAGGTGAAATTCCCATTGAAGTGGACCTTAACAGGTTAGCTGCTTTGCTGGGGGATGGAGTTCTATTAGCAGTCAGGCTTGGGTAGGAAAGCTGTGATCAGAAGAGCCCTGTGATATCTTGGAAGATCGAGAGCTGCTGATCAAAGTTTCAGGAAGGAGGTAGGAGATACGTGCAGTCAAGTAGAGTGCCTTGTGTTTTCTTCTTTTATTATGTTTGTAACCTCCAGTTTATCTGCTTGAGGGTCCATATGGCCTAAGCCTGGCCCCAATCCTTACATTATTAAAACTAACCTCTGACCAAATTTGCATCAAAATGTCCTTTGACTCTGAAGCATCTTGAAATTGTTTCATATTAAAAGATACTAGATAAATTAAAATTCTTGTTGCTTGTGTCACTGTTTTCCTTAATCTACACAACATTATTATTAGAGCAGTCACTCCAAGAACTGTAGAGGTTAAAGAAGGCCCATCAGCTTCTTTTCAAAGCAACCAAGGAAGGGCAGAGTGGATGTTGGGAAGATGCTTCCATTGGTAGGAGAGATTAGGACCCGAGGGCACAGCCTTAGAGTAAAGGAAAGACCTTTTAGATCGGAGATAAGGAGAAACTTCTTCAGCAAGAGAGTGGTGAATCTATGGAATTCACTGCCACAGAAGGCTGTGGAGCCCAGATCATTGAGTACGTTTAAGACTGAGATAGATAGGTTCTTGATTATCAAGGGGATCAAGGGTTATGGGGAGAAAGCAGGAGAATAGGGTTGAGGAACTTATCAGCCATGATTGAATGGTGGAGCAGATTTGATGGACCGAATGGCCTAATTTCTGCTCCTATGACTTATGGTCTTATGGCACTAAATACGACGTGTCAATCACATTCTAATTCCTGTAAATGATGGTATATGTGAGATGACGCTATATTTCAGTCCCCAAAAATTACATTTTTGTACATATTCGATGTATAAGTCAACTTCCTTTTCATTCATGACATGCTATACGTGGATTAGTATTCAGCTCAGTTTTTCTCCCCACACATATATGTTTACTTAGATTACCTTATAACCTGGCAAAATACATCTTGGAAGGCACTATGGCCTGTGTTGCAAAGGTATGTTGGAGTTAAATCATGTCGAGTGTTTGTATCGGAAGTAAATGTTTTAAAATTGTGACCACCCACACTTGCTTCACTTTTAAACTCTGCATATAAATTGACCCCTATATCTGAAGAGATTTTTGAGGCAGTAATGGTCAGTTTATATCTTGACATCTAAAGGTAACTGCCTGAAAGAAAAATCTGTCTCTCCAGTAAGAAAGGGATAAAAATAGTGAAAGGAAAGCAGCCGACGATACAACATAACGTGAAGGGCACAATATGGAAGCATCTGTTTACTCTGGGAGATTAATGCAAAAATTACAGGTCACAATAGCTAGATGATAGGAAAAAATATTGATGGAGCGTTTGGAAACTTAGAATCCAAATGTGTGTTACACTAAAACATTGCCATGCCAAACATGTGATAATGTAACACATTGCAAATTTAAAAGGAGGTGAGGAAGAGAAAACTGATTCCTTGTAAAGTTAGATTGACGTTAAGTCATGATGTTTTAGGATGGGAATTTATCAATTGGTCTATTTATCCTTCAGTTGACAGATGCTTCAATTAGTGTTGCATCGTAATAATGGCTGTAGAATAATTAATGAATTCATGTCCGTTTTTCAAATGAAAACAAAAATAATCATCATCAACTTGATTCATCAGGTTGGTTCCCAGAGTCTCATCTTACCCTGTGGATTTAATTTTCTATAATTACATGAACTATGTGTGTAATAGAAAATATTGCTGAAGATCTCAAAGAAAAGCAGAAAGTGCTGGAGAAACCCAGCAGGTCTGGCAAAATCCATGGAGACAGAAACAGAGTAAACCCTAAATCTAATCCCACACTCGATCTTTATCCAAATAATGTTGTTGATGTTGCTGAAATATTGAGCCTTATGGTAATACATTTTAAAGAAAAGTAACTGCATAATGATGACACAATGTGGAACTGGATGAACACAGCAGGCCAGGCAGCATCAGAGGAGCAGGAAAGCTGATGTTTCGGGTTGGGACCCTTCTTCAGAAATAATAAACTGCATAACGATGATGTTTTATCATTGGCTTCCATGTTAAAATTACATTTACTTGGCTGGCTGCTGGACAGGACGCGGAGTCTACATGATGCAGATGACAGGGCTTCCATGTTGTCATGCTCCTCGGCTGATTTAAGCCCGACCTATGTTCTTTCTCAGATAAGAAGGTGCAGAGCTGGATGAACACAGCAGGCCAAGCAGCATCAGAGGAGCAGGAAGGCTGACGTTTCGGGCCCAGACCCTTCTTCATTTCT